TGCAAGGGAAAGCAGAGAACAGTCAAGAATTGTCTGGGAAGGGCAACTGAAGGGCATCATGTGCTCCTTCCACATGGCTACCCCACTGGAATTTGCTGGTGAGGTTTCCAGACAGACAGCTCTCCTTGCAAAGGTCCCTGGTGCATGAAGCAGCCTCTTGGCTGTGGCTGGGCAACGTGGCACAGCACCATCCTTCCCTCCCCCTGCCACCAGGCAGCTTCCAACCAGCTTCTGGGAAAGACTGACAACTGCTCCTGGTCACAACACAGCAGCTACAAGGTGAGATGGAGACACAACACGTGAGCAGTTCTCACCGTGGCTCCACTGCCACAGGACTGAGCAGCTTCTTGTCCCTCTGTGTGCCCTCTGCAAAGCACTTGAGGTGCTTTAGTTGACACACCATCAATTTTTGCAGGCTGCTCTTCCAAAGGTAAATACATGGACTGAGCAGGAGCAGGGCTTTTTGTAATGCCAGGGCATTGAAAGCATCTCCTCAGGAGATGGACAGGCTGGAACAGGCTGGGGACAGCACAGCCAGCTGGTCATGTCAGGGAGGCATGGAATGGTTTGGGTTGGAAGGGACTTTAAAGATCATCCAGATGCAACATCCTGCCATGGGCAGGGACACCTCCCACCAGCCCAGGCTGCTCCAAGCCCCATCCAACCTGCCCTTCAACACCGCCAGGGATGGGGCAGCCACAGCTTCCCTGGGCAACCTGGGCCAGGCTCTCACCACCCTCACAGCGAAGAATTCCCTCCTCATGTCCAACCTCAATCTCCCCTCTTCCAGTTTCAATCCATCCCCCTCATCCCATCCCTCCCTGCCCTTGTCCCAAGTCCCTCCCCAGCTTTCCTGGAGCCCCTTCAGGCACTGGAAGCTGCTCTAAGGTCTCCCTGGAGCCTTCTCTTCTCCAGGCTGAACACCCCAACTCTCCCAGCCTGGCTCCACACCACATGCCCACCAAGCCCTGACTCTTCCATCACATTCTGCCCTCTGGCAGGAGCTGCAGGCCCATGGCACTGCTGGCACAGGGGACACACAGAGGACAGTGAGCACAGAGCCTGTCCCACCACACACCTGCTGTGAAGCTCACGTGGCTGCAGCTGCACTTTTGGATCCAGAACGAGGGAGTTACTTTATAAAAATGAAAACAAAATCCTTCCCTAGAGCTTTTGGATGAATAGGGGCTGGAGGGGACATTCCTCCAGCTAAAGCCCCTGCTGCTGGAGCTGGGCACCAGCAGAGCAGTAACCCTCCCTCCCAGGGAAGGGGCTGGTGCCACCAAGAAGTGCTTTGTTGTTGGGACCTGGTCTGAAAGTGGAAAAGTGCTAAGAATTTTATAAGTAGCCTCATCTTTTACAAGCAGTCTAGGGAGATGATGTCTGGCCACAGAGGTCTAGACAGCATGGGAGTCTCATCCACAGCAGACACCTCCTCTTGGATCCAGCTCCTGGAAAACACAGCACAGCAGCTCCCAAAGAACATTCAACACCCCAGTGCTGCTGAAAATGAGTGGAGGACCCTAGGGAGGACATGCAATGGCAGACAAGGGCTTGTAAACATAAGGTCTGCTGGTCAAGGCCAGGAGATGTGTGGAAATCCAGCCCATGTGGCCAGAGGGAGGGAGGGGGGGGCAGGTACCTGGAAAAGGACACAATGTGGTGCTGAACAAGGAGAACAAGCCCAGTTTGCATTTGTACCCCCCTTGCACTTGGTTGGTGGGTTATTTTTCACACAGCAAAGAGCTGGTCAGCAACTGAAGGATTTCTTTCAGTTATTGATAAATCCACTAATGGACCATCCAGCTTCTACCACAGCATTTTGCCCCTGGAGACCTGGGCTACTAGATGGGAGTTTTGGCCTTTTTGTCCCAGGTTCTCCTTGAGGGTGAGTGGCTGTGACTGAAGCTGCCTCAGAGCTCCCAGCTCATCATCTAAGGAAGGGACCAGGTCCCTGCAGGGCCCAGGACACACCCCAGGGTTGGGTTCCTGCACTGAACCACCTGCTAACACCACTCAGACTCTGAGAAAACCGCCTGCCCTAAACTCCTCCCAGAGGACAGGGCTGACCCTGCCTTTCTGGGCTCCATCCACCCATCCCACACCTTGCCCAGCACTCAAACCACTTCCAAAGGGGCTCTGGCAGCCCCTGTGGAGTCACCATTCCCTCCCACAACCCATCTCCCCTCTCCCATCTTTCCATCCTCCCTCTAAACCCTCCCCCAGACCCCCTGGGATGCTCCTTACCCCTGCACCAGCAAACCTGGTGGTCATTTCAGCTTGGCAAACAACTGGAAACCCAACAGTTAGAAACACCTGCAGGGCCAGGACAAACTCTAAAAGAACAACCAAGCAAACAGGAGGAAATGTGCATATAAAAATTTTTTTCTCCTGGCATATTGTCAAGAAGCTGCAGTTTTTTTTTCCTTCCACAGGGAAGGGATTGAAGTTCTTCAATGATATGATGCTTGGAGATGTCATTTCTTTGTCATTAAAAAAAACAAAACCCCCCCCAACAAAACCCCAACCAACCAAAACAAATTTCCAACCCCCCCCCACCCCAAACTCACAAACTGGTGGTAACAAAACAAGGTAAAAAGGACAAATCTCCCAACAGTGACAACTGAAAAAGAAAGGTCCACGTCAGCATTTGTAATCAAAAACTACTACATACTGTACTTGGGAAGTCTTCTGGGACAAGATCATTGGCATCTAGTGAGGACATCACTAAAAGTCTTGTGCATATGATATGTAGGAGACAATGATGCCACTGGAGGGTGGATGGAGGGACCCTTAGGGAACTGTCACAAAACTGTTCCATGACCAGAGAAAAGATGTAAAAAGGATTGGTTCTCCCCCATCCCCACCCCCCAAGCATTACAGATTCCTTCTGGTTTGTCAGAAACAGCCTCTTCTAGTCTCAGTTTGTTTGTTTGTTTGTTTTTTTAAAAAAAAGTCTTCAGGTTTGAAGTCCATCAGCTTCTGAGATGCACTTGGTTCCACAGCACCAAAGAGCTTCAGCTCTGTCTCCCCTTCCATTTGCTGACAGGGGCTCCCTGGAAGGACAGCTTGGCTGCAGGACATTCCCAGAGCCACCATCCCACCTGAGAAGGGTAAGTGCTTCTTGCGACCTTATTTTTTTTTTTGCATTCATCTCCTTGAAAAAGCCTCATTGCTCCAGAGGTGCCTGTTCCCAGCCTTGTGCAAGAGGAAACAGATGAAGCTGCTCTTTTCTCTTCCTTTGGAGACTCCCATTGGTCTTGGAGCCCTTTTCAAGGATGCAATTGCTTTATTATTATTATTTAAAAATATTCCATTGTTTGTTTGTTTGTTTTCCCAAAATAGTTGTCTTTATTGTTTTGTTTTGTTCCCTTTTCCCATTGCTTAGATTCTAGAAGCTCTTGGTGACCTCTCATGACTGATCCTAGGGCATTTCTTCCTGTTGCCATGATCCTCAGAGCAGCTGCTTGTCTCTGGTCCATGCAGAACCCTCAAGAACTGGAGCTTGGACAGACAGGGGCAAAGGGGAGCACGGCCTGAAGGAAGAGGAGTGGGAGGACACGCAACCATCAAACCTCCACAGACTGGATTTGGTTCATCTGTGCTCTCATCACCTGGATGCTGTTGAGAATTTTCTTCTGGTGTCCTGCTAAAGTGACCCCGACCCGTAGAATGTCCCTTTGGGAGGAAAAGAGACAAAGAGCAGATCAAGCAGAGAATCACAGCATCAAGCATCCTGGTTGGAAGGGACCTTGAAGATCATCAGGTCCAACCAGAACCTCAACCCACCAACCATAACCTCATCTACCTGCTCAGTGCTTCAATCCTGTCCCTCAGCACTAGATCCACATTTCCTTTAAACACTTCCAGGGCTGGTGGAACCAGGGATGTCCAACCACAAACACCAGGAGACACTGCTCACAGCAGAACCAGCCCATGTATGAGCATCCCCCTGCAGCCAGGTGAGGTTGGACCTGAAGTCTCCACACATTTACCCCACAAATGCAACACATGAGATGGTGAAACCCTTTCTCTTTGAATTGCCACCGACCTGCAGCACCCCCAGGCCACAGGAAACCTCCACAGAGGGGGTGAAACCAAACACCACAGGCTCTGCTCACAAACAGACCACAGGTTTTCCACCCTCCCACTGTTCTGTTTCTCTCTCTGCAGATCCTTTCACTCACACACTGACCCATTTTCCCATCCCTGGAGACCCATGAGCAGGATGTGCTGCACCCTGAGCAGTGTGAATCTCACCCCCCCTGAGGACATGATGGCTCTTCTTGCTACTTGGGCTTTCATCTGATGGAGCCATGAGACTTTTGCTTTTTAATCCTCTTTGCTAAGTCATGACAATCTAATCTTTGCACTGCTCCTCTTCTGGAACAGGCATTAAACATCTGGGAGGGATAAAGGTTGTGCTGAGAGCAGGAGGTGACTGTGCTGGTCCCAGCTGTGATCACTCCAGCTGAGATTGCTACTCATCTCCCTCTGGGTGGGTAAATCTCAGTCAGGAATTCTTCTGACCAGGGAATGGATGGCAATCCTGAGACCTGACCCACACCTGACTCCAAGGATTTACAGTTGCCTTGAGTGTTAGGGACAGATTTTTGAGAAGAAATGCAGCAAAAGCCTTGTCTGGTTTAGAATGGAATCCAAGGAACTTGCCTTGGAGCTCCAAGGAAAGGTAGAAAAAAAATCCTCTAGTATGAGTGGCAGATTTTTGCTTGAGAGCTTCTTTAGACCTTGTATCTTTGCTTAAGTAAAATGAGGATAAAGAAGGAAAGCTGGGCATGGAGCTGTGCTGTTTACACCCTTTGGCTGGTGGTAACTGCCTGGAGGCCACCACTGGAATGTGCTTCAGCCCAACCCTCTTTGGACTAAGTTCTTCTTCCTGGCTACAAGGATGATGAAGGGGCTGGAGCACCTGCCTGATAAAGGCTGAGAGACCTGGGGCTGCTCAGTCTGGAGAGGAGAAGACTGAGGGGGAACCTAATGAATGTCTATCAATACATGAGGGCAGCAAGAAGGCAGGACAAGCTCTTGTCACTTGTGCCCTGGGACAGGACCAGGGGCAATGGATTCAAACTGGAGCCCAGGAAGTTCCAGCTCAACATGAGGAAGAACTTCTTTGGTGTGAGGGTGACAGAGCCCTGGGCCAGGCTGCCCAGAGAGGCTGTGGAGTCTCCTTCTCTGGAGCCTTTCCAGCCCTGTCTGGATGCCTTTCTGAGTGACCTGCCCTGGTTTGGGTCCTGCTATGGCAGGGGGGTTGGACTCAGTGATCTTTGGAGGTTCCTTCCAACCCCTGATATGCTGGGATTCTGTCCTTCAGATTTTATGGCCCCTGTCCTGCTGTATGAACACAACCCCTAGTGTGCCCAAAGCATCCCCAGAGCCTTGGGGTTGTCCCCGAACTGCCCTGGGAATTTCCTGGAAGCAAATAAGAAGGAGAGAGAAAAGGCCAGTCGGGCTGTTTGCAGGAAGAGATTCTGATTCATTGCTAGATCTAAAGTCTGGCCTGAAGCACCAAATCCAAAAACCTTCCTGGCTACCAGGCACAGGGACATCACAGCACTTAGAGATGGCTTTTTTGCGTGGTGTTTTCTCAGGCAGGGTTTCTATCCACTCCCTGCACCACAAATCTTTCACCAGAGGCATCCAAGCCCCTGCTAACTCCAAGGGATTTGAAAAACCACCACGACTGGGCTTCAGCTGCCTGATTTCTCTGAAAAACCTCCTAAGATTTTGTCACTGCAGGGTGTTTTTAGTAGATGCAGGACAATTCAGAAGGAACCTGAAACCACCTGGACCTTCAGAGGCAGAGACCTGGTTGCAGCACGCTCATCTCCATCACCCAGAAGCCATTCAAGAGGACTAAAAGTGCTCTCAAGTGGCCAGAGAACTGCCTGATGTCCACCTGAAATCTTCACGTGTTCCATGTTGGGAATGTGGAGACCTTGGGGGGGGTTTCATTTCCACAGTGGGGACACGCAGGCTGATAGCACATGGAATCCTGCAGGCAGGGAGTGACAGCCAGACAGTGGGACACAGGGCAGAGCCTGCACCACAGAGCACTTCTGAGAAACTGAATAGTCTAAAAATGGGTCCACAAAGCAACAAACCCTGTAGAAGTTCAACTACATCCCGTGAAAACCAGGTAATGAAATAACAACCAATGGCTGCTCAACGACTGAGGCTTTTCCTTGTGCTTTGGGATTAGAAGCCTGGGCACTTACTCTACAGTCATCTGAGATACTACATCAAAGGTGGTGAAGCCAGCACTGGCAAAACTCTCCTTGTACTGGCTCATCTTGATGGCATCCAGCCACTCATCCACAGTGTTGAAGCTGGTGTAGTCCGGGATGGTGCGGTCAAGCAGGGGGAGGTTCATCCTGAAACACACAAATGGGGCATGAGCAGAAGAAAGAGCAGCCAGGACCTGTGTCCCTGCACCCCCCACCAGCTGGAGGGGCCTTGACCAGCATCATTCCCACTGGGGCCACCACCCAGAGAGCATTCTGTCCAACTGAGGGACAGATGGTGTAGAGACTCTTCCAGGGTCAGTTCATACAGGAGGTTGGAGCCACCAAGGCTGGTGGGATGCAGCTCCAAAACCCTGGCTGCACAAGGGGAGAAGGTCCATTCCCACCAAGGGGACAGTGGTTCCCATGAGTTAGTGCATCCCCACAAGGTGCCTGAGCAACCTGCTCTAGTGGGAGGTGTCCCTGCCCATGAAGAGGGGTTGGAACTGGATGATCTTCCAGCTCAAACCCTTCCATGGTTCTGTGATCCCCAGGCAGGCCAGGGATCCCTACCCTGCCTGACAAGACTTTATTTGCCTCCACTGCATGGAGGGTCAGGCTACCAAAGCACCCACACCCATCCAGACATGAAACCAAGGTGCTCCTCTCACCCTGCAGGCTGCACTGCCCAACCCGAGGAGCCCTCTGTGTCCACCAGACCTAACGTGTCCAGGGAGAGGGAACCAGAGTCACTCTTGACACGTTTTAATGCCCTTCCTACAAAGGCCCAAACAACACAGATAGCTTGGTCTAAAGAGATGCAAAGCTGGGGGGTCACCAGGAAGGACAGCAGGTCTGCAGAGAGGAGCCAAAGGAGGAGAAGACAGATCCATACCCAGAGGAGAGAGGTGCCATGGCTTTCAGGCTGTTTGGATTTCGGATCATTTTGTCTAAGGTGTTGACAATCTGCCCAAATTTGGGCCTGTGGTTTCGATCCTTCTGCCAACAGTCCAGCATGAGCTGGTGCAGGGCGTTGGGACAGTCCATGGGGGGCGGCAGCCGATAGTCCTGCTCAATGGCATTGATCACCTGCAGGGGGAGAAAGAGGGGATCAGTGACACTGGAATCAAACCTATTTCATGAATAACGTTCCCTTTCTTGGATGCTGAGGGTGACAGCCATGGCCACCCATCCTGCTGGCTCCATTTCCTGCTGCCTGTCATCTCAGTGCCACTGCACAGCATCTTCCACACCCAGCCAGGCTCTGCAGGTCACACTGTCCTGGGAGGTGACACCAGCCTTGCTGGGCTGAGATCCAACCTTGCTGACCACTTGTCATGAGCCATGTCAGGCTCCTCGTCCAGGGAAGCAGAGCATCCCTGTTCCTGTGCCAAGGAGGGGGGAGCCCACAGCACCAGCCATGAGAAAGGGGAGGCAGAGAGAAGGGTTTGGACAGGTTCAGATCACAGTCCCACCCAGTGAAGGGGCTGCTTGTAGGTCACAGGCAGGGGAAGCTGCCCTTGTGTTTTCAGAGAATCCTAGACTGCTTTGGGTTGGAAGGGACCTTCAAGACCATCCAGTCCCAACCCCCTGCATGGGCAGGGACACCTCCCAGCAGCCCAGGTTGCTCCAAGCCCCATCCAACCTGCCCTTCAACACTTCCAAGGTTGGTAGAGAGGAGCCACTGGAGGTGCTGTGACAAGCTGTGAAGGTGCTCCAAGGGAGGGGAGGTGGCAGAGCCATGCCCAGCAACCTAGGGTACCAGGTACCAGGGCATCTGGCAGGATTTAAGACAACCTGAAGAGCAGACCAGGATGGTGCTCCAGATCTTGGTGTGCATGGCCAAGGTGCTGGAGTGTGTCCAGGGAAGGGCAATGGAGCTGGGGAAGGGTCAGAAGAGGAGCAGCTGAGGGAGCTGGGGGTGTCCAGCCTGGAGACAAGGAGCTGAGGGGAGACCTGCTGGCTCTGCAGCTGCTGAGAGGAGGTTGGAGCCAGGGGGATCAGGCTCTGCTCCCCAGGAACAAGAGATGGAACAAGAGGGAACAGCCTCAAGTTGCCCAGGGGAGGTTTAGGTTGGACCTTGGGAACAATTTCTTCCTGGCAAGGGTTGTCAGGCCCTGGCCCAGGCTGCCCAGGGCAGGGGGGGAGTCCCCATCCCTGGAGGGGTTTAAAAGACACATAAATGTGGTGCTGAGGGACATGGGGCAGGGGTGGCCTTGGTAGAGTTGGGTTAATAGTTAAGACTTGATGATCTTAAAGGTCTTTTTGAAGCAAAAGGATTTGATGAGTCTCTCAACAAGCTTCCAGTGCTCATTTCCAGTTTCCCACCAGCCCCATCCCCCTGCCTGCTCCCCCAGCACTCACACCCCAGGGTCAGGAGGCCACTTGGCAGGGAATTGCCCCACGTGCTGCTCCTGGGGAGGACCAGCTGCAAGCAAGTGGTGACAGCCTGTGGGGCACAATGTCCTGTGGCAGAAGAAGAGGAAGAGGAGGCTGGGAACAGGCTGTGGAGATGGGCAGGGGCCTCTGCCTCAGCTGCTGGTGCTGCCACAGGAGGAACCATGTAGGGAAGAGGTCCTGGGGAGGAGGACAAGGGAGGGGGATGGCAGAGGGTTGCACCTATAGAGGCTACACCTACCTGTCCCATGGAGGGCATGCCCAGCTCCAGGAAACCCTTGGAACTGCAGGTGGTAACAAAGCCTCAATGAGAAGGGAATTGTCCTTTCTGAGAAGGGCATTACCCTGAGTGCTTTGGCTCAAAGAACTGATGCAAAGATTTCCTTGGGATGGCAGGGGCTGGGGCAAGGCCAGGAACAGCCAAAGGTGCTAAGAAATCATGTATCTCCTCCAGGCAGACTCACTTGAATAATTCCCCACCAAGCACTAGGGCAGAAATTGTCTCACTCTGGAGAAACCTGACATGGCATGGATGGAGACTTCTTGACCTGACAAGGGTCTGATTTGCCATTGGGGCAGGAGGAGTTGCAGGAGTCAGAGGTGGGAGCTTGGCTCTCACTCCCACCCTGTAAGGCTGGGTTTTATCAGGAGCCCACAGGGTGATGGAGATGGAGGTGGCAGCCTGAAGGCTTCCAATGGTCTGTCCAGAAGGAAGCTCTGGAACAAGCTGGAACTCAGGCAGGTGCTGTAACAAGCAGGTGTGCAAGACTCCAGCTTGCAGCAGAAAGGGGGGACAAGTCTTCAGCACACCAAGGGTCTACCCAGGACCTTGGTGTTAGATCCTGAAGGTTCACAAGGCAAAGACCACATGAAGAAGGGCAGCTCTTCAAAGAGACAATGCTACAAGAGAGGATCCACTCTCCTGGGGAAGAAGCTTTTCCTGTTGGTCCTCCTGAACCTCCCAAGGCTCTTCTGGACACACGTGTGCAGGTGCCTGCATGGCACTCATTGCCACCCTCTGGATGGACTTTGAGCACCCAAGTATCAGGTCAAGAGAACCAGGGAGCAGGGCATTGCTGTGGGGAAGGTGTGGGCTGTAGCCACGGGTCCCTGCATGGAGGGAAGGACTCCTGGAAACTGCCTGGGTCCCAGGGAGCAAGGTCTGCACCTAGAAGTTCCACCTGAATTAGAGAAGAGTCATAAAGTATTTAAAATGAAGCATGCTCTGAAAATCCTTGTGGTTTTGACTTCTAGCTGCTTGGCTTCTTACTTGTGACAGCCCAAGCTTGCCATGGGAGATTCAATGACCATCTCATGGAAGATGTCTATGACAGAGGGGGCTGGAGTAGATGATCTTTAAAGGCACCTTGAGACCCAAACCATTCTGTGACTCCAGACCAGATGTTCCCCAAATGCTTGTGCTGTCCTGCAGATGAAAGTCTGCCTGTTGCTCCTGGGGTCAGTGGCAGCATTTCCTTTCCCACCCACCTCCTCCCTTTCCCCTTAGACATCTGTCTGCCATCACTGAGGGTGCTCACCTTAACCCTGTCCCACCCCAGTGAGTGTTGGTACCAATCCCAAAACGTTCCAGAACAAAAGCAAATCTCATCCCTATTCCTTCTTCCAAAGGTGTTGACCTTGGCCACCCCTCCCAAGCCAGACAAGGCTCCAGACATGCCCCAGCCTGGCTCCAGCTGGAGCCATGACTTTTGGCCTCACAACACTTCCAGGTTCAGGGTTCCTGCTTCTTCCTTCTTGACAACTCACATCCTGGTTGGTCATGTCCCAGTAGGGCCTCTCTCCATAGGACATCACCTCCCACATGACGATCCCGTAGCTCCAGACGTCGCTGGCCGAGGTGAACTTCCTGTACTGAATGGCCTCAGGTGCTGTCCACCTGATGGGGATCTTCCCACCCTGCAGGGAAAAAAAACCAGAGAGGATGGGAACTGAAAGAGCACGAGTGACTGGAAGGGGTGAGTGTCTAAAATCTTTGCCTCCGATAGGCAGATAAAAGCCCAGAAGGAAGGACCAAGGGCCAGTCAGGGTGGCTGGTCCAGCCAAAGCCAGGCAAGCTGCAAGGGGGAGGTCACAGCATCACAGATCCCAGGGGTTGGAAGGGACCTGGAAAGCTCCCCCAGCCCAGCCCCCTGCCAGAGCAGGGGCACCCAGAGCACATCACACAGGAACGTGGCCAGGGGGGTTGGAATGTCTCCAGAGAAGGAGACTCCACAGCCTCTCTGGGCAGCCTGGCCCAGGGCTCTGGCACTCTCACACCAAAGAAGTTCTTCCTGAGATTCACAGGGAACCTCCTGGGCTCCAGTTTGCACCCACTGCCCCTTGTCCTGTCACTGGACATCACTGCACAAAGCCTGGCTCCACTCTCCTGGGGAAGAAGCTTTTCCTGAACCTCCCAGGAGGTTTGTCCATTGCCCCTGACATCACCTGGTGCCACTGCAAAGAGTTTGGCTCTGTCTTCTTTGTGAGTGCCCTCCAAGTATTGAAGGTCACTTGTAGATGTCCCCTCAGCCTCCTCTTCATCACATTAAACAAGCCCAGCTCCTTCCACCTGCCTCCTGCTACAGCATCTTCAGCCTGACAAAACGGCCCTTGTGCTTTAGGGTCTTTGTGTAGGAAAACAAATAGCTCTGAGTGCAGAAAAATCCAAACTGGCCATAGAACCATTTAATGGTTTGGGTTGGAAGGGACCTTAAAGATCATCCAGTCCCAACCCCCCTGCACGGGCAGGGACACCTCCCACTAGAACAGGTTGCTCCAAGCCCCATCCAACCTGCCTTTCAGCACTTGTTTGATCCCCTTTGCATCTCCCTCCACCCTTTGGCTGTCCCCTGGCTGCTTCCAGAGCAAAACAGAAGGAGTTAGAACACCATCCTTCTCAGCTTTCTACACCTGCAGGCTCTCTGAACCCAGTGAGACATCATCCTCCTGAGCATGAGTCCTTCTGTGTCAGTCTGTTGACACACACATGATCCAGAAGTTTTTGATGCTGCCTCTTTCTGGAGCCAGAGGTGAACATCTGCTTTAGCAAGGCCTGCTTGGTCACTGGTGGGAAATGGGATGGACTGGGTGAGCGTTGGGGTCTTTCGTGGTCCTGCTGGGCAGCAACAGCTCTGGAGAAATCAGAAGGACCTGCCTCTTCCACAGAGAGTGATGATGGAGGGGTGTGCTCAGCGTGGCCACAGGGAGGGCAACGCTCTGCTGAAGCCCTTGCAAACCTCCTGATTTCCTACCAGGGCCTTTGGGTTTGAGCCTCTGACAGCTCAAGGGACCTTCTGAAAGGAAAATACTCTCCTGTGCTGGAAAATAAGGAAAGTTGTCTGCATTTTGTGGCTGTGAGAAGATGAAGCTACATTACATCTCACTGAACAGCTGCCATGACTTCTGAGGGGTCTCCTGGGACTTAGCAGGACTCAGACCTTATACCTGCTAGAAGAAGGAAAAAATCAACCATCTTCTTACAGCCACAAAGCTCAGAGAAAATGTTTTGCTCTTCACAAGACCAAGCATTCCATACCAGACATGATGCCCTCTCCATCAGGCAAGCTCTTCACAGAAGCACTTGGCAAGCAGTGGGGTTTAAAATTGGCTAAAAAAGAAGCCCTGAAGTAGAAATTAGAGCCTGGGTATATTTGGAGGGTCATGGTGGGAATTCACTTCAGTGAGACCTCCCCTATCCCCTCCTCCCTGGTGAGCTGAGCCAGAGCTTCACCACCCTCATGGAGAAGAGTTTCCTAAGGTCCAGCATGAACCTCTGAGGCCACAGCTTGTGGCTGTTGCTCATCCATGGACATGAGGTGTCTCTGAGCTCACAGTAATAAAACCCATGCATTTTGGGACATTTGAGGATAGAGCATTTTAAAGAGGAAGATATTACTCCTGGTACTTGGTTACAGTGGGTGCACATGGTCTGTCATTGTATGTATCTGCCCAGAGTTCAAGGAGAAGAAATGAGAGATGACAGAGAGAAAAGCTACAGGCACAATAACAGGAATAGAAACCAGAAGCTTCCCTGTAATTAGCTCAACAAAGGGAAAGGTAATTGGATGGAGAGATCATGTTGTGAAAAATAAATGTTCCCAGTGTTTCTGAAAGGCAGAGGATGCCTGTACCCAGTGGAATGGTTGATGTTTGAAGCCACACGAGTTCAGGTGGGAATAAACCCCCACATTTTCAGGTGTTCCTTGGGTATTCAACTACTGCTACAAAACACCAAGAGCTGTGTCAGGCCTCTCACCACTGGCAGCTTCAAAAGAGAGGTGATTTCCTACAGACCATGCCCCAGCTCTCTCAACACTCCTGTCCTAGGCACTGCTCCTGTAGCACCACAGCAGAGTGAAGCTCTGAGCCTTTGCCACCCAGGGTGTTTATGGGAACTCCTGCCTGCAGCTTTACTGAGCCACAACCAAGTCTCCAAATCATCTGCTGGCCCCTGTGCACAGGCTGTAGCCTGAGGCAGGCCATGTGTTCTTGGTGGCACTTGTGTCACTGGCACCGTGGTGTTCCTGGGAAACATTTCTGGGAATGTTTCTCTCATTCAGAAGGACTCTCTGGCAGAGCAGCATCTGAGCTGCAGGGCTTCACTCAGCACGGACCCACCCTTCAGGCTGCTGTTCCTGGGGCTGAGCCTGTGATGTGACATGAAGAAGGGCCAAGGCCTCCTGGACAGCAGGGCAGCACAGCTGGTCAGTGATGGTGAAAAAAAACCAACCCAGACTTGCTCCTCTGGCAACAAATCTGTCAGGGCAGCATCTCAGAGGACCTGCAGCTGGTCCATGCTGGAAGGAGGTAACACATCATCCCACTAAGGGCTTTAGCAGGGACATGTGTGTGTTTGCAGACACGTTTGGAAGAGGCTCAATTATCCACAGGAATGACCTGTCAACAGCCACTGGATGGGATCTGACAAGACGAAATCTCCCTTGGTTCAGCTCCTTGGTCTTCCCCATCTGGCACCTTACCCCCCCTGCCCCCTGCCCCAAGTGCTCCCCAGGCCAGGGAGCTCTTCCCTCTCCCTCCCCGCCTCCTCCAGCCCTCCGGTCTGGAAGAGCAGCTTTACCAGGGCACTGGTGTAGGTGGGATCAGATGTGTCGTCCTCCAGGAACCTGGAGAGGCCGAAGTCAGAGACCTTGCAGACCAGGTTGCTGTTCACCAGGATGTTCCTGGCAGCCAGGTCCCTGTGCACGTAGTTCATGTCTGCCAGGTACTTCATGCCGGCCGCGATGCCGCGCAGCATCCCCACCAGCTGGATCACCGTGAACTGCCCGTCGTTTTGCTGGGAGGGGAAGGGAGGGA